GCTGTACCCGCCCCCTCCCCCGTCCGTTCTGCCAGTCAGCGCTGGAGGATCAGAGAGGGGAATCCAGCCCCTTCCCCTGTCACGGCAGAGAGCTGTGACAGGATCGAGAGGTGAGCGAACGCCGGTATGTGTTCGCTCACCTCCCGATCTACTGAGCCGACCTGTGACAGTCTCATTGTCACAGGTCGGCTTAGAACTATGAGGTGAGTGGAAATCACTCATCTCATAGTTCTCCTTTAACTCTTAAGAATGAGAACACTCATGGACCTATACACACGCGCACACACACGCACGCGCACACACACACACACCAGGTTGGACTTGATGGACTTATGTCTTTATTCAACCTCATGTAACTATGTAAGCATCAGTGCATCCCTACCTGTCGCAGTTATGTATTGGACTAATATATACATTTGTATTGAAATTTATGGGAAGCCGTAATAAAGGACTTTATTGTATATTTTCTGTCTGATGTACTGACACTCGGTGAGGTCTCGTAGGATAATCATTTTTTATTTTCCTTGCATTCTACATAAAAAGTTGCTGTTTTCCCATCTCGTATGAAGAGTTCTGTTTGATAAACGTGGCCGAGAGCTTGGAGGGGTTTTTCCTCGCCGTGCGGATGACAGCTCGGGGCCCGGAGAGTTCCCACACGGCGAGACGAAGAGAAAATATCGGAGAACAAAAGATACTTCAGGTCGCGGCGGGAAAAGATGGCGGCCCCTCCGGTGAGAGTTCCGTCTTTGTTCTCTGCAGAAACGGCCTCGAAATTCTGAAGACGCGGAGACTCTCCCTCTGCGAGCGCGATTAGCCTCTTCGCCGCTCAGGAGACAAATCCCGCACTACAGCACTCGGCGGGTTCGGCTCTGATCACAGCGAAGCCGCCGCCGCGTCTCTGTTTGTTTTTCTTTTCTTGACGAAGTGACACTTTGCGTTTCAGTTGTTTTTTTTTAGTCTGATTCAGAGACGGTAAACAAAACCTTTCTACGCGCGGCGCGTCTCTCTCCGAGCGGAAGGGAAACGGCGGAGCGCCACTGAGAGCTGTTATGGGAACGTTTATCTTCTGCGGGATTTATATTTCTTGTAGAGTTTTTTTTATTTCTTTATTGTCATCGCCACAAACTTACATCTTTGAAATGCTATTGTATCTTGTTGCGGCTCACTACTTCCTCCTGAGCACCCGAAATCCAGCGAAAAGGAATTGGATGGGGTGTATTCTCATGGGGGGAGGCCACAGTGGGGTACGGTGATGTCACCCACACCTCCAGGAAGCATCAGAATCTGACCTCCGTCTTTCCCCTCAGTCTTCTATCTGACCTCCATCCTTCCCTTCAGTCTTCTATCTGACCTCCATCCTTCCCTTCAGTCTTCTATCTGACCTTCGTCCTCCACTTCAGTCTTTATATCTGACCTCCGTCCTTCCCTTCAGTCTCCTATCTGACCTCCGTCTTTCCCCTCAGTCTTCTATCTGACCTCCGTCCTTCCCTTCAGTCTTCTATCTGACCTCTGTCCTCCCCTTCAGTCTTCTATCTGACCTCCGTCCTTCCCTTCAGTCTT